CTGGAGCTTTGCAACAGATATGAACCTCTTGCAGCCCCAGCAGAGCCTGCTAAGCTGCCAGATCCTGTAGGTAACACAGGCTCAACTGTAGCTACTGCCTCTGCTCTCTCTAAGGCAAAACGCGAAGTGTTTGTCATGGGAGACTCCATCCTGAGGGGGACTAAGGGGGCAATCTGCCACCCCGACCCCTTAGCCCAGGAAGTCTGCTGCTTCCCAGGAGCCCATATCCAAGACATTGCGGAGAGGATCCCTAAGCTCCTCTGGCCCACTGACCACTACCCTATGCTCCTTATCCATGTGGGCACAAATGACACGGCTCGGAGCAATCCCAGCTGGGTCATGAAGCGCTACAGGGATTTGGAAGTGGGGCTTAAGGGTCTGGGGGTGCAGGTGGTGTTTTCTTTGATCTTCCCAGTTTTGGGCTATGGGCTAAGGAGGGAGAGGAGGATTGGGGTAGTAAACCAAAGACTGCGGCACTGGTGGCATCATGAAGGCTTTGGCTTCCATGACCACAGTCCGCTCTTTGGTGAGAGAGGCAGTGAGTTGCTGGGAAGGGACAGCCTCCACCTCTCTCCATTGGGGGGAAGGCTCTTCTCAGCCAGACTGGTTGACCTGCTCCACTGGGCTTTAAACTAAGCCCACCAGGGGATGGGGGGACTGCCACTACTGCTGGCCTGCTGAGCAACCTTTGCAAAGCCAGCAGGCCAAGGTACTTAAGGGAGCCAACCCCTACCCCAGCCCTGGAATGATCTGTAGGCAAGGCAAGGGGAAATTGCATGCCTGTACAGAAATGCCAGAAGCTTGGGGAATAAACAGGAGGAACTTGCCCTTCTGCTTAACACAAATAATTACAATGTCATAGGGATAACGGAGACCTGGTGGGACTCCACCCATGACTGGGCCACAGGTATAGATGGCTATACCCTCTGCAGGAGAGATTGAGTGGACAAAAGGGGTGGGGGTGTAGCTCTCTATGTCAAGGAAAGCTACGCATCCCTGCAAGCCAACATTGGTGCTCAGGATGGATGACTGGAGACCATCTGGGTTAAAATCCGTGGGGAATACGGCACGGGGGACACAATGGTCTACTACAGACACAATGGTCTACTACAGACCTCCAACCCAGGATCAAGAGCTTGACCAGAAGTTCGCCAAGGAATTGGCTGAGCCCACACACTCCCAGTGAATGGTTGTCATGGGAAACTTCAACTAGTCAGACATCTTGTGGGAAGAGTGCTCAGCCAAATCTGAATGGTCGCAAAGCTCTCTCTCATGCATGGATGAGCTCTATCTGACCCAAAAAGTCTACAGGCCAATGAGAGGTAAAGCACTGCTCAACCTGGTACTGGCAATGGAAGACAACCTAATCAGTGACCTAATGATCGAAGGGAAGCTGGGTGACAGTGACCGTGAGATGATCACTTTCACTATCCACCGTAAAGCTGGCAAATCCTTCAGCAATACAGAAGTCTTCGACTTTAGGAAAGCTGACTTTGACAAGCTCAGGAGGCTTGTCAGTGAGGCCCTAAGGGACCATGACCCAAAGGGGAGGGGAGTTCAGGATGAGTGGTTGCTCCTCAAGGGAGAGATCCTGGAAGCACAAGCAAAGTGTATCCTGTCTCAGAGGAAAGGCAGCGAAAGGGCACAGCAGCCCCCTTGGCTCTGCAGGGAACTAGCAGACCTCCTGCATCTCAAAAGAAAGACCTACAAAGGATGGAGGACTGGATCCACCTTGAAGGAGGATTAGTTTGCACTGGTCCGGACCTGCAAGGAGTGAACCAAGAAAGCCAAAGCTGTGACTGAACTCCAACCAGCTACAAGTATCAAGGACAATAAGAAGTCCTTTTTCAAATATGTGGGGAGCCAGAGGAAAAGCAAGGGTAACATTGGACCCCTGCTAAACCAGATGGGACAACTGACAACCGATGCCCAGGAAAAAGCCAACTTGCTAAATGGGTAATTTGCATCAGTTTTTCACCAGTCCCAAGGGATGCCCCTGCCCATTATGGGAGAGGTAGGCCAGGGTGAGGGAGATTCCTTACCCTCCATCAATGCTGACCTTGTGAAGGAACACCTTGAGAGGCTGGATACCGTCAAGTCAGCCGGTCCTGATAGTTTACACCCCAGGGTACTCAAGGAGCTGGCGAGCATCATAGTTCAGCCCCTGGCATGGATCTTCGAGAACTCCTGGCACTCTGGTAAATTGCCCAAAGACTGGAAGGAGGCCAATGTGGTGCCTATCTTCAAGAAAGGGAGGAAAGTGGATCTGGCAAACTACAGGCCCATCAGCCTGACCTCTATCCCAGGGAAGGTCTTAGAAAAGATTATCAAAGAGATCATTCTTAACGGACTGGCGGATGGCAACATCCTGAGAGATACCCAGCACGGGTTTGTTGCGGGTCAGTCTTGCTTGACCAATGTTATTTCCTTTTATGACCAGCTGACCTAACCCCTGGACAAGGGACAGGAGATTGAGTTATATACCTTGACTTTAAAAAATTCTTCGATCTGGTATCCAATGATCACCTCTCAGCAAAACTGGCCAACTGCGGCTTCAGCTTCACCACAATCTGCTGGAATTGGCTCTGTGGTTGGACCCAGAGGGTGGTGCTTGACAGAAGTCAATCGTTGTGGTGCTCTGTGACCAGTGGGGTCCCTCAAGGCTCTACCCTTGGGCCTATACTATTCAACATCTTCATTAATGATGCAGACACTGGTATCAGAAGCGGGCTGGCCAAGTCCGCCAACAACACCAAACTTTGGGGTAAAGCATCTGCACCCGAGTACAGGAGGGCAATCCAGGCTGACTTTTGACAGGCTCAGGAAATGGGTGGAGGAGAACCTGATGGTGTTTAACACCAAAAAATGCAAGGTTCTCCACCTTGGGAAGAAAAACCCGCATCGTGCTTATAGGCTTGGCATTGCTATGCTGGCTAGCACTATGGACGAAAGGGACTTGTGTGGGGGGGTCATGATTGACTACAAGATAAACATGAGCCACCAATGTGATGCTGCAGCTAGTAAAGCGAGCAAAATGCTGGCTTGCAGCCATAGATGCTTCTCAAGCAAATTCCAGGATGTCTTTCTCCCATTGTACTTGGCCTTGGTGAGGCTGCAGCTGGAGTACTGCATCCATTTTTGGGCTCCACTATTCAAAAAGTATGAGGAGAAGCTTGAGAGAGTCCAGAGGAGAGCCACATGCCTGATTAGAGGTCAGGAAAACAGACCTTATGATGAGAGGCTGAGAGCTATGGGAGTCTTCAGCCTGGAAAAGCACAGGCTTAGGGGTGATGTGGTGGCTGCCTCTAAGTTTAAAAGGGGTGCTCATCAGGATCTGGGGGAACATCTGTTCACCAGAGTGTCCCAAGGGATGACAAGATCAAACAGTCTCAAACTCTTCTGTGACCATTTCAGGCTGGACATAAGAAAGAACTTCTTTACTGTCCGAACCCCTGAGGTCTGGAATAGACTGTAGGTGGTTCAAGCGCCTACACTGAGTGCCTTCAAGAGAAATGTGGATGTTTATCTTGCTGGGATCCTATGACCCCTAATGACCTCCTGCCCCAGAGGCAGGGGGCTGGACTCAATGATCTTCCAAGGTCCCTTCCAGCCCTAATGTCTATGAAATCTATGAAACTGCGCACCAGAATGAACACACACTGAAAATCTATCAAAGATAAGAATACCCAGCTATCTGTAGGGACACACTTCTTACAGGACAATCACTCCCTCTCCAATCTCTCAGTCCTAGTCCTCAAAGGGAACTTACAAACAAAACACCTTCCGTAGATAAGTCTACATACTTCACTTCATAAATCTACTGGATACAAAAAATCATGGACTCAATATAAACATTGGATTTATGACACATTACAACCTGCCTGACATTGGCTTCACCAGGTACCTGCCAGACCTGACCTCTTACATTTTTCTTTTTTCCCTACCTCTTCTCCCCTACTTTTCTGCCCTTTGTCTTCCTAATTTCCAGCTATTTCCTTTTTCACTGACAACCTCTATTCTAACTTGTATTACTACCACTGTAGTGTCTCCCCTACTCACCTTTGGACTTTTTTCCCCTGCTTTGCCTTTTGTTTTTGTAATATCTACCTATTTACATTCTCACTGACATCCTGCCACATTTTTAGCTTCTTTCATTCCTTGGAGTCCTGGAATAGTACAGACTCCCTATGCCCAAGGAGGTGATTGCTCCTGAAAGCTTGCTAAGAACTTTTTTTCCAACTACTCAGCTGGACTAATAAAAGATATCACATCGACTCAAAGAAAAGAGAGAGAACTTTTTAACTGATGAAGACTGAGGTGGTTCTATTGAATTGCAACAGCTGAGGATGTGGCCTCAGATTGTCTAACCAATGCATTCAAAATCTGAAAGCAGTCTGATTGCTATAGTGGGGCCAGAGCATGGGGAGTTTTCCCATTTACCACTGCAAACTGATCAGGAACAAATTCTTACTAAGAGACATTGCATTCATAACATTCTGAACAACTATGTTTTCATATAGAAGTTTGAACTGTGTACAGAACACTTTTTAAAGCAATGACTGCCACAGGGCTGCTTTGGACAATCTAGTTTATTCCATTAGCAAATGCTCAGTTCTTTTAACTCCTGTTTGCCTGTTCAGGGGTGGCCTGACTCTCTGTTTCTGTGGTGGGGATGTTGGGGGGATAGGGTGCTTCCAGTGCTCATAGCTAAGATCAAAAGGGCAGAGCATTCATTAAAGGTTTCCAGTACAAAAAAGGAGTTTTCTTTACAACCAAAAATAAAAACTCACTTGCAATGCATTAATAGAAGCAACCACAGACTTGGTTTGTGACAGGAAAATAGCCTGCAAAGGGGGGCTAGCAGAAGAGGGTGTTTTTTCTCACCTTTTAAAAAAATGCCTTTCTAAAATTTTCCACCTCTACTCACTGCACCATGACACCCCTTTTACCTTTTGCTGACCACTGAATGACAGTATATAAGTTTGAGGATAGGGGGTTCAGATTATGACTTTCTCCTCTGTCGCAGTATGAAGCATTCAGCAATGAAGCTCCAAATCATGGCTATCCTGGTCATTCTTTGCCTTGGCATCTTCACCATGCACACAGCAACAGGTGAGTTTTCAGCTCTGTAGAAATGTAGGAATTGGCATATGATTTCAACACAAGGGTCTATCTAGTTTAGTGTCCTGTCTTAGAGAGTGCCCAGAATCAGATGCTTAGAAAGAAGCTATGGGAAACCCCATAATGAAATAATCTATCAACTGTGGACTTATTTTCCTAACTTGTCTCAGTATGTGGCTGGTTTATGCTGTGAAGCTGGGAGGGTTTCTGTTCCTCGCAAATTTTTTATGCTATCTTATTTCACTCTGGATGCGCTCACTTGCCATGTCAACATCTAATAAATCTGTTATGGCAGCAAGTTCCACTGATCAGTTGTGTCTTGTATAAATAGTGGGCATGTCTACATGAGATACTTACTAATCAGTAGCCTAATAACACTGCACAGTAACGTGCTAATCAAAAACCATGCTAAGACGCTACCACACCATTTTATTAGGCTACTTTTAATTAGTACTTAATTAAGGAAGTACTAAACTAAATGTACAGTAACTACTATGCATTAATGAATGTGTAGATGCACCCTACTATGTTCTTCACTTAGTTTTAGTGGCATTGTCTTTCAGTGTTGTTGGCTGTGCCCTTGTAAAGACATTACGAAAAGTGTTAAATAACAGCTCTGGGTTTTCTCCCCTAAATTACTATGAGATTATGTCCTTATTACATGTAATTATACATATATTAGATTATTATTATGTCCCTTTAGTTTAGTATATCACTTTTTGTCTCTTGTCTGACTTGTCTAGTCCTACTCTTTGTAATCACTGACTATAGGTAAGGATTTTCAGCAGCCTAAGTATTTTCTTTTCCCCTTTGTTTCTATTAAATCTGTTTGCAAAGGGTTGACTAAATGGGAAAAATAGCATTTGCAGATAAAGCATCCATAGATCTTACACAATGGCATTGGCATTCTCAGTCACATTATCCATTCCTTTCTTAATCAAGTGTAAGATGTCATGGAAGATTTTTTATGACAGTGGCTGCATATTGACCATAGTTTTTATGTGGGCCATCCATGATGATGCTTAGATCTTTATCTTATTAACCACAAACAATTAGTAGGCCATGTGACATTTGTAAGACCATGCTGATGTCAAAAGCTTGTATGCACACACAAGCAAGTGCATATACAAATATGCACAGATTCATACAAACACAAGCCCCAGAATCAGATGCACAAAATACTTATACAGGAGTCCAAACACCAGGAACTCCACAAAACCACACAAAAGCCAAATGCAATCCATCCTTCCCCTCTCCCCACCCCTTCACATTTGTTGCTCCTCATGGCATGTAGAACAAGGGGACAAAGGCCAGCTTGACATCACAGCATTCTTGCTTGTGATGATGCAGGTATGAGCTGGGATTGCCTGCCAACAACCCCACCTTTCCAGGAGGCCTAATTTGCCATGTAATGTTGCCCACATGTAAAACATTATGTAGGAGGGAAGTGCAAAGCAGGGGTTTTCTAAGCAGCCAGGTAGCACTTTTGCCATCTAGAGAAAGGGGATTGTGGGGCCAATGACAAAACTGCCCAGGGAAGCTAAGATACAAAAAGACCTGAGGATGGAGTGCAGGAGTAGGCACATTCAGAGGACTTTCCAAGAGCAGATGAATAGAAAGGAGAAAAGGAAAGATGATTCCCAGGCAAGCTCCCCGCCATTTTTAATTCAATTGAAGCATCCTTTATCTCCAAGTGATTTGTAAAGGTCTGCACCTTGTTCATTTTACCAGCCACTGGAATGAAGTTATTCTTGGGAACAAAGTGGTGGTTTAACACAGTGGCAATGAGTTGACACAGCAGTTTAGTGCAGGGTGTCAGGACTAATGTACCCAACTGAAAGGCCATTTCTAGAGGGAGAATAAAACTCTTATGTTCTGCTGAATGTGGAAGCTTGTTTATTTATGGATCTCGTATGGTTGGGATCTTGGCCACAAGACTCACATGAATGATGCATGCCTTAGCAAATAAGCCTAGAGGTACCCGAGTTGTAATTTAGCAAACCATTTGCTATAAAGAATTACTATTCATTTAATTAATTAGTCATCTCCTTTTTTTCATTTTAGGAAGTGTGTCTAGTGATATTGTTAGAAAAAGCTCCTGTATAGAACTGTCAACAAAGAAGCTGAACATCAAAAGGCTTATTGGTTATAAAGAGCAAAACATTCCAATAAAAGCTGTGATGTAAGTATGTGATCTAGGCTTCATTTGCAAACTAATTTAGAGAAACACTCTGCCCTCCCCACTGAGAGAGAGAAAGGAAGTCAGTAGAACTGACTCAAAGAAAGCAAAAGGTATCTGAACAAACATGACTACTTGAGAACTCTCTTTCATATCTCACATGAAATCTCCCTTGAATAACCTCAAAGAGGCCTGAAGTATTTGTCCTGTAGACTTGAGCATACAAAAGTTAAAAGTTTTGGCCATTCAGTTTTTGTTCTGAATACTGGGAGGAAAAGTCAGAAAGGAAAAAAAAAAGTGTTTTGAGTGCTACGGACTAGAATAGCCTGAGGTATTGCTGGTAAGTACTCCAGTGAACTGGGCTGTGTTGTGCACAAGAGGTTTGTGGAAGAGCTGGAAGTAATGATGACTCCTAAAGAGCAGTCATTATCAACCTTTTTAGACTTGAGACACCCCTTGTTAAACTTGAGGCACCCTCAAAAGTGCAAGCTCTTAGTTCTTCTTAATTTTGACTAGAGAAAACCATGAAAGCAATGCATCTGTTGTAAAAACTCAGAGATAACACAACAGGTCAGAATGGTTTTAACACTATGGATTCCTGTTTGACATCTCCAGATCTATCTTGTGAATCATGTATGTGTTGGCATCCCCAGCAGCCTTAAAAGGGTCTCACGGCATCCTACTTAAGAATCACTGTCTGAAAAGATGTGATCAGTCTCTCAATCTCATGAGACTATATTAAACACAAATTAGATTTGGTCCCTGTGCAATAAATGTGGGGCTGTATTTTCAAAGAAGCTCCTCATGCTGGGCATACTTTGCTCTTCTGGAAAGTCTAGAAGTGCAGCACGTGCATAGGCACATATAGGAATTCACAGTACTTATACACACACCCCAATCTACATGTAAAGCTGGAGTCCATTCACTAAACTGCAGAACCAACACATAGCTGGTTTTTACAACTCATGACTAATGTGACTGCTCAAACTTACACCAGTAAAACCTTTTCAGCACATCACATCCTCACCTATTCCACACAGAAACATGCGCATGTAGTCTAGGTTTGGAGACAAGAAGTCTCATGTCTCTCTGCCTTTCCTTTTCTTCCCCTTCAGGTTCATCACCAAAACAGGCAACAAGATCTGTGTGAAGCCTGATCTCAAATGGGTGAAGGATGCCATGAAATACTTGGATAAAAAAGGTGTCACCAGAAGACCCACCACAAAATCCAGTCCCAAGCCCCTGACAACTACTAACAAGGTTTCCATCAAGGACTGCTGACAGATTTATTCATTCATAAGAGGGAAGGAAAAGACCCCGGATGTTGCCAGTCTGTAGGATTCCCTGCTAAAAGAGGTCAGAGGAGCTAACATGAGGGAGGAATTTGAAAAAACATACTGGATAATATCATAGTAATGAAAAGCTACTTACTGTATAAATAAGCAAAGGCATTCTTTGATAAGTGCAACGTGTGGGGTGCAATTTTCTGCCCTCCCATATAATGTTGCATGATTAACTACTAGTTTGTTCTGATTCTCCCATCACTTTATAACAGTGTAAATAAACGGAGACAGGTCTCCTGATGTAAATTGTGCTATCTATATTATTTATAGAGATTTACTTTGGTGAAGGATCAGGCCTGTCAACATCAGTGAAGTTACTGCTCATTTACACTAGTCTGAGATATTTTTACTCTCTTGCAAAGCATCAACATAAAAGTGACATCAAATACAGTCATTGCTTATATGTGCCAAATTAATTTAGAGCCTTGTGCAATGGAACTGGTTATATTCTGTGTAAATGTGAAGTATATTTAAATAATAATTCCCTGAATGTAATAAATGTAAAGCTTTTTGCACATTAATAAAACTCTTGTAAACCTTCAGTCAAATGGTCTATTTGTTTGCTTATACTTGACCATGTTGGACTGCATAGGAGAGAATGTCTCCATTCTAACACAAGTCCAAGGTCTTAATGTCACATCAGGAAATATTTCCTTTCCAGAAGCATGTAGCAAAACCTCCAAATCCTTACAGCCAAGGATACTTATGTATCCAACATTTTAAACAAGCATGAATGTCAGGCCTGGCAGCTTCATCTTTTATTTAATTCTGCAGAAACCCTTCACCCCAGCATCTCCTTTTCCACTGCTGCATAGTCCAGGAGACAGAAAAATACATATTTTTGACTGTCCCTGACAGCACGTCTAAACATGAACCTTGCTGTCCAAGTATAAAAACAGGTCAGATCATCCCTATGCAACACTGCAGGTTAGAGCCACCCTTTCTGTTTCATACCCATTATGCCAACCCTGCTGCCCCGGAAACTGGCAGGAAAAACAAAAGTGAATTCCCAGTTTTACATAGAAAATCACAGGGTCCTTAGCCAACAAGCCAAAGGGAGGGAACAGTCAAAAGGTAAAGAAACATCAATGCTGTGGTAGCATTCTTAGCACTTTAATTTCCTCCCCATACCTCTGAAGGTATCCCCAAACAAGCCTTTAGTCCTTAGAGTGCTCAAAGAGTAGTCTGCAGCTGCCTCCAAGTGGGAGTCCAACTCCTTCAGCCCACAGTCCTGGCAGACCAAGTCAATGAGATCTCCAGCTCCACTGCGCGCTCCTCTGTGCAGGCTGACCAGGTTCCACGTGCACGCTGCTCTCTCTTCCCCTTGCTGCAGCCTCAAGCTTCCTCTTCTTTTGTATGCAGGACTCACTGTCAGGCATGCTAGGCTGTCATTCTACAAAGGCCCCTATGCCTCTCCCATTACAGGCAGTGGAAAGCCTTCCATTCCCTGCAGCAAGAGTGTGATCTGCATCCTGAAACTAGGTGACCCAGAGAAACATCCATGAGTCAAACTCTCCAGTCAGATATACAACATCACATCTCATTAACCATGCACATACAAAAATGCTTTCTATGGGCAGAATGCAACGGCCCTGCTCATCCTTAATGGCACTTACAATTAGGTTTTTTGGGAATTAATGCCAGTGTGAGGTTACTGGTGCAACTCAGCTCCTGGTGGTCAGTAATTAATCTCCCAGGACTGCCTCACTTCACTTAGTCTTAATCACTGTTTATACCAGGCCTTTCACGTGTTCTAACTCCTCTTTCCACATGTCCAGTTGCAAGTTATTTCTGTCCATGTTGCCAAGCGGACCCAGGGGGTTCATAATAGATAACCACTTTGGCCTTCGACATTTTCCTTCAGAGGCTCTCAGGGACCTTGTCAAAGTAGGTATGTAGGATTATCTTAATTTTATAGGAGAAGAAACCAGGACACAGTGTTTGAGTGGATTGTAGCCCTGTATCACTCCACACAGCAGCAGTGATTTGGTTTTGCTGTAGATCTGAGGTCATTCTGCCTTGTTGATACTTCTGTGGGTGTTTCCTAGTTTCTGGTTGTCTTTAGACCAACACGGCTAAAACCAACACCCCTGAAATGATATATCAGAACATTAACCTGTCCTTAGCCTGTCCCTTAAACTCAAGGGATGCCATCCCTAGCCAACTTCCCAGGTTAGAGCAGGGCTCTGCCTCTGACCTCATGCCAGAGCCTTCTGCATTCTCCTTTCAGCTTGTTTGCTTAGCCTGCTTTTCTTAGGCTAAGGGATTCCAGTCTCTCTGATACCCAAAGGGGGCAGCTGCATGAGATGCTTACTGTGGAGTTGCCCAATTAGCTCTGCAGTAAAGCATCATTGGGCACCACTACGCAAGACACTAACTGCACAGTAGCATGCTCTGCTAATATGCTACTATACAGTAGTACTAGGCTACTGAGTAGTAAGTGTCACTAAAAACCTGTGCACTGGCACTACTGTGAGTTACTGTGCATTGATTTAGTACTTAGTTAACCAAGTACTAAACTTAACGAGCAGTAACTGCAGTGTATTAATGAACAGGTAGACACACCGACTGTCTACATGTGCAGAGCTATTAGGCTGGAATAAACTAATCACCTTTGCCATAGATTAATACTGCCAATCAGAAGTACTACTATGGTGGAATTATTTACTGCACTGCAACACACGTGTAGACAGAGACAAGGCTGACTGGGGCCCAAGGGTGCTATAGTGTAGGGGGCTTCCTGCTGACTAGCTCTGCACTGGAGCACGCTCGTGCCCCAGCCAGTCCCTCTGCAGCATGCTGAGCCAGGTGGGGGAGAAGCTCTAGGCTGGCAGGCTGACTCTTGGGGCCCCTTGCCAGCCGGGGCTGCACTGCTTCAGTTCAACATGCTGCGGACCCAGCCACATGTGTAAACGCTGTCTCCAGGAGCAATAAACTCCAGCGTGAATTGCCCTGGTCTGTGTGTCACATTAATTGAACATGCAGATGAGCCCAGAGTCTCTAAAGGTAAAGCTATACTGTCTAGACAGGCAACAGCACTTAATCCTATATCACCCCTTCATTTCTAGGGGTCTGACACCATACCAGTAATTTCTTGCTCCCCCTTCCCCCCTCACCCCAAAGTACAGGTTTCCCAGAGCAGTCAAGGCCAGAAGTATATGGGCATCCTTTCAGATACAGTTTCACTAATTCAATATCCATCTTCCTTGCAGTTTCCCCTCGGTAGGAAATGTCTAAGTATTATTCCTGCAGTCCCTTCTTTAAAGTGTAAGTTCATTGTTGTCTGGCAAAGCCTACTCAAGACTAAACAACTTTTGTTAAATGCTAGTTCTCAGCCATGATTTCTTGTAAATACGAAGAGTTGAGGGATACTTATGTTAAACTCTCCCTTATGAATACAACTTTGGCTATAATGTAAAGATATCAAAATTATATTAGTATCAAATATTGCAACACATGCAGTTATGAAAGTGACACAACCAAAAACAGCTTCATCCTTGTTACAAAGACTGAACACTATAGGAGTAAGTCTAATTTAGGAGAATATCTATGCATGTCACATGGTGAACCTCAAGTGGCAACTTGGTTTTGGGGTAAATCTTTGACAGTGGCAAACCCTTAACCTCCTTGCCTAGAGCTTTGCAGATTCCTCTGATCACCTTGGTGTCATCCATGATGGTATCCTGGGTGCCTTCATGGTCTCTGGGCAAGCAGCACACTTCACAGGACTCCAGGTTTGGACAACAAATAGGCACTTCCATCCTTCTCAGGAGGGAGCCCCAAGGACCACCACCACCCCCGTCCTCCATTTGTTAGCCATGAAATGTCCATTCATTGACTCAAGTGATTTCTGCCTTCAAGACTGCAAGGTCTGTCCCTGGTCCTCACCTGCCATCATTTCCTCCAGGGCCTCCTCTCCAGCAGTGACAGCGCAGTGCCTAAAAGTGGTCACTTACCTCAGTCTGCACCTCATGAATTCTGAGGCCCCTTCTTCATCTCTCAGTAACATGATGTCACTTCTTCTTGTTCTTTTGCATCTCCTGCACCAGCTTCTCATGACTCAACTCCAGAAAATCTTCATTCTTTCTGATATTGCATAGCATGCATACTTGCAACTCTGGCTCTTGAATCTTTTCCTCTAAGGCAAATTCCAGCTTGTATTCAGTATAGACAAAGTCATCTTGGCCTTCAGGGAACAGCATGAGCAGGGCACATCCCACACAGGTAACCAATAACAATTGCTGATTCACCTTCCATTTTTCTCCCTTTGTTTCCTAGAAAAATTCATGATTGGAGGAAAGACATGCTCTTTTCTAGCTTCTTCCTCAAGTGAACTGCCTCTGTTAGCTTTGGAAGTCCCTCTGTTAGCTTCTCTGTTTGCGAGGGGCTGCCTTTTATAAGGCTTCCCAGTCTAAGCCTTCCTGCTTTACACCTAGTTATAGTTAACACTGCAGTCAATAACACTAGGCCCACCTGAGACAAAGCACTCCACTCATTTGAAAACATAAGTACAGACAGGCAGTCATGGCAAAAAAAAGGATTAGTAAAAAACATGGTCACCATGAACACCATAGAAATTCAGATATTCATCTACCAACTTACTGCAAAGTTCTGCCTTAGGTGGTTAAAGATAAGCATATGCTTAACCTGTGCTCTTTTGGGGTCTCCACGATAAGGAGCATGACCTACAGTACTGAGGCATAAGAATCCTGAAACAAAGCTACAATAGGAACATCAGTAGCAATGTGTGTAGAAGAGGAAGGAGAGATGGAATTACATATCAAAGCATTTACAGAATCAGACATATACAATTTAACTAGAGATACAATATACAGGCTTCGTTTACATAAGATGCTTTACTGTGCCTTAGCCTAATTTACTGCACAGCACAGGTGAGTGTCAACATGTGCACACCCTTATTATGCAGGAAATTCCCTT